GAATTCGCCCTCAGACCCCCATCATAATGTAGCAATTTACATTATAATGGTAAGTGCTTTTTGTCTAACCACTATCCAACACACCTTTCTGGTATGGTAGGACGTCGAGGGAACAAGCGTTCCACCAGCATAGTTCGTTGGGTCACTGTGATATGCAAGCCCGACCACCACGTCCAAGCAGCAGCATACAAATACAAACAGTCTTCTGATCAGCGTGAAGATGTCGTGGTGTCATCCTTCATATGAAGAACACTAACTTTAGCGTTCATTACATGAACAGTCCTGAAGGAACAAAAACATCCTTCGTGAATAAGTCTTATATCCTGAAGTTTACTGGGATGCAGTAAATACCGACCAATAGCTGCTACCTTGACGTGGTGGTCGGGCTTGCATATCACAATAACCCAACGAACTATGCTGGTAGAACGCTCTCGTGGTCTTGCAGGTGTAGGCATAGCACTAAGCACTAGGGCAGAAAACTCACTACTAGACTGGATCCCAGTTGATAGTCACCTCTGCGCTATGAGGCTGAACGGCACGGTAAGAACTAAAAGGAATAGTGAGACTCGCCGTTGTCTCTTTGTAATCTCTGCTTACGCACCCACTGACTGCAGTTCGGATGAAGTGAAGGACGAGTTCTACCGTAAACTGTCTAACCTCCTCTCGAAAGCCAAATGTTCGGACGTGGTGGTTGTTGCAGGTGACTTCAATGCACAGGTGGGTAGACTGAGTAAGGCAGAAAGGCACTTAGGTGGCACTTTCGGAATCCCAGCTGAACGTACAGATAACGGTGATCGCCTATCACAACTAGGCTCAGATAACTGCCTATTTTTAGCCAGCATCAGTTTCAGACATAAAGAAAGGCACTGTCTGACGTGGCGTCCACCGAGCTCAACTCAGCGATGGGCACAGATAGACCACATTGCTACTAGTCATCGCTGGAGAGGATCAGTGGAAGACTGCCGCTCCTTCTGAAGTACGTGTCTGGACAGCGATCATGCACGTATACGCCTGCGCCTCAATGGACGTAGAGAAAATTTAGCAACAAAACCACTACATGTGCTGCTGGAAAACAGAAACACCAAAGCCGTGTTCAGTGAGAAGTTGGCCAGGCAGTTATAAGAACAAAAGACTGTCACTCATCCAGAAGAGGCTTGGTGCTTTCTTCAGTCTGCTGTAAAAGCAGCACTGAAGACTGTAACCGACTCCAAAATAGTGGCTAAAAAGCCAGTGGATATCAGCAGCTTCTTCCGAACTAATGGATGCACGTGAATGCCTCCCTGCAGGCTCTGAGTACAATGAAAAGCGAGCGCAACGATCGCGAACAGTGGTGGGCAGCGAAGGCCAAAGACATGAAAAAGGCAGTGGCGATTGGTAATGGTAGACAGTTATTTAGACTTATTAAGGAGACTGGGGGGAAAAGATCAACAACAGTTAGTGAGGCCATAGCGGAGAAAGATGGATCTGCGATTTACTCGCAGGGGAGACGACTGGAACGATGGGCAGAACACTTCGAGAAACAGTTTAACTGGCCTCCAGCCACCATTGCGTTGCCCGCCATCCAATCGTATCCTGAATGGGACATAGAGATAGGTCCCCCAACACTAGAAAAAGTTGAGAAAGTGGTAGGTAGCCTGAAACGAGGAAGGGAAGCGGGACCAGAGGACTATTTGCTGAGGTGCACAAGGATGTTGGTGCAGCGCCCTTGATCAGGTTAACGGAAGTGTTAGCTAGTACATGGGAATCAAATACAATCCCCCTGATTGGTCTAAGTCACTCATTATCCCGGTCTTCAAGAAAGGTGAGGAGTCCTCTTGTGATAACCACAGAGGAATCAGCCTGACAAACATAGTATCCAAAATCCTAGGTTCTATAATTCTCCCACGCCTGAGTGGAGGTCGGGAACAGCAAGCCCGAGAAAACCAGGCAGGCTTTAGACCTGGCCATGGGTGTATCGACCAAATATTCACACTGTGCCAGGTCCTGGAACATAGGCATGCTTACAGACGCCCGACAATAGCTGTATTTCTCTACCTGAAGGCGGCATTTGACTCCGTTGATCGAGAAGTCTTATGGTAATGCCTCTCACTGAAAGGCGTGTCGAGTAAGTACATCACGTTATTGAAAGCTCTCTACTCGAACACTTGTGGGCGTGTTAGAGCACATGGCGAGTTGTCCAGGGAGCTATACTCATCAAGTGGTGTCCGTCAAGGATGCCCACTATCCCCATTCTTATTTAATTTTATCATAGATATTCTTATGGAGGTTTCCCTCTCGTCACCTAATTACACAGACGTTGACCCAATCACAGGTGAATTTTCTTTAGATCTAGGATATGCAGATGACATAGTCCTGTTAGGTGAAGACGCTGACAAGAAGCAGAGTCTTCTGAACACTTTGAGTGGGAATTTGAGAATGTTTGGGATGCGATTTTCACCACCCAAATGCAAATTTTTGCTCTAGGACTGGTCTTCAGCGGTACCGCGGTTAACAATAGAGAGTGAATTGGTTGAGTGAGTCGACCACTTCACTCACCTGGGAAGTAGGATCAACCCCGGTGGGTTAGTTGCCGATGAGATCTCTGCACGGATACAAAAGGCTCGATTGGCTTTTGCTAATTTGCGCCACCTATGGCACCGCCGTGATATCCGTTTGTATTTTAGGGCCCGTGTACTGCACAGCAGTCCGCTCTATTCTACTACATACCTGTGAAACATGGCCATTGAAATTGGAAGATATGAAAAGGCTTCAAGTGTTTGACCTCCGTCGCCTTCGTAGCATAGGACGTATTCCGTGGTGTCACCACGTGAGTAATGCAGAAGTCAGGTGTAGAGTTTTGTGGAGCAGAGGTAAGTCAGTTGACGAGACTATGAACCTTCATCGACTGAGATGGTTGGCTGGGATACGTACTACGTATGCCTAGTCACCGACTGCCTCGTCACACAATGTTGGCTGAGGTGGGTCCAGGCTGGAAAAAGGCCCGAGGTGGCTAGACTAAAACATAGCGCCAATGTATGAAGTCTCTGACTGTTGGTTCAAGCCATGTAGGACGATGCAGACTAGGTGTTTGGGGTCCACGGGACAAGAAGAACCAGTGGTTGGGGACTCTAGGTGATCCCATGGCTCAGAACCGATGTCAGTGGCGCAGATGTGTACACACATTATCTTCATCTTAACTACACTATACCGAATCTCACCGTTTTGTCACTCCTCTTTCCTTTCTCCTCGTACTTTATATTTCTTTTGACTGTAATCATTTATCTTCATCCTTCACCTCACTACCTTTCTACTTAATAAACTGACGTGAGTTGTGGCAAGTGGGACCGTTACGCAGTAATGCCTGGTCCTATGTTGATAATGATTGATTGATTGATTGTAGGAGTTTTGTTACTAACCTTGGCACTGCTGTGATGAAGAAGCATTAAAAAGTATCCTGGAGTAAATGTATTGCCGATATCCACCGGTAACGAATATGCTCCAAAACTCAACTCACCCAGGCTGAAGTAGAATACCCGAAAAGGCTATTTTCTTATGTGAACTAAAAGAATAAAACATACCGTAATATGCCCATCCGGATCAAAAAAACCAAAACTGGTTAGTTGAAGAAAATTAATACAAAGCAGAGGTTATGGCTCGATATTTTGTTGAGGTCATTATCTAGAAACCACCAACGAACAAGAATCCAAAATTAGAAGCATCGAAATCCCAGAGAATAAACTATGTGGACACTGATTGCAATCATGTCCTCAGCTGTTTCTACCAAACATCAGTGCACAGTCGAATAACGCAAGACCCTCGACGGTTCTCTGAGCCGATCGTGCAAAAATCTGACAAGGATGCACGTGAACTTCAAACAGATCTTAACAGCTTTCTGACATGGTCAAAGAAATAGCTTATGCCTGTCGATGCAAGTAAGTACATGAATTTAGAAGAGGCCTGCAGATAGCAACAACTACAATATTAGTGAGATCCTCCTACCGTCGGTATTGACCCGAATTCACAGCAAGTCATGATTTAAAGACTACGGTGCGCTATTGACTAGTCACAGCTAGAAGTTCTAAGACGTTTGCTAAGATACGTTGTGACATGCCCACTACCTTATACACATTTTCAGTTAGATTTAAACTAGAAAACTGTGTATAAACAGTAAATCTTTTTCTGCAAAGTAAATTCTGGAAAGAGTTCAGAGGAAAATCACTCGTATGGTCCCTACGAAAAATGACTTCACAAGCCAAGCCTTTTCTCTTTGTCGTAAGACAGACAGAGAAAAGATCTGATTATGCTACATACGATTTTTGGAAATGACACTGAACCTAATCTATCTTCTCTGCTCCTTATCATCAGATCCAATCACCCCAGAGGACGTAGAGGGTGAGTACAAAAGCAGAAGGCAAACGTTATCTCCACAGAGTATCAGTTTTCGCTTAGAGTAGTAAATTCTCAGGAATAACTGTCAGAAGGATTGGTACTCATATAATCGGTCAACTAATTCAAATAAAATCGGACGAGCATAGAGACCCACTGAGAAATGATTAATGTGGGTTCAAAACCCTCTAACCTTAAACCATAAGTCTAAATCTAAATCAATTCAGTGATGTATAGCACAATGAAAAAACTTAACTCTATGTACTTTCGCAGAATACCACTATATTTTAATAAGCATGGGTATAGAAACAAATATTTATTACAGAACCACGTGTCTCTTTGTATCTAAACTCCAGACAATAAAATTCATAGTTAGACCCTACAAACATCTTCAGTGAGAACACACCTGATATTCTAATCTTAGCAGACCACTTATTTCAAGCTGGGTTTATTTCTAATAGAAATATCCAACGTATAAGATTACAAACTAGGCGTCAAGAAATGACAAATAACCTCATTGCTTAGAATTTTGGTCTGAAATCAATATGTTTCTAACATTTATTGATTAGTACATGGCTATGACCGCATTCAAAACTGTGAGATTCAACATGCCATGCTTAGAATAGATTTCTTACTTGTCGGTTTTCAAGCATTTCTCTTTTTTGTTCTTTTCATTTTCATCAGCAAGTAGAATTTTTTTAGCAGGTAAAGGCAAACTGAGACGTTCTTCTTCTCTTTCTAACATGGTCTTAAGTCTTGTAATTTCCTTCAAAATATTGTCCTCACTACTATGAATGTACTCAACCTTCGAGACACTTGAAGTAATCGTAGACTCCAACTCCTGAATCTTTTCTTCGTAACTACTTCTTAAATGAGCATTCTCCTTGTTTAAACTCTCTAGCGCACTTTGTAAAAGTTCACTCTGACGTGCAGCACTATGGACCTAAGAAAATATATATAATCTTCTTAACAAACTTTTGATTGGAGTTCAGCGATTTCCTGTTGTAAGTTCAGCATCTGATGATCACTTTCCAAGTTTTTGGTTCGGAGTTGTCGATTTTCTTTCCTCTCTAGCAACAACTGGTTTTGCAAAGTTTTAATCTAAAAAGAGAAGAAACGTTAACCAGTCTAAAGTAAACACCAAAAGCTAGCAAATCTACAGCAGCTGAAAGCTACAAGCAAGGCCTACAGAATTTTTGTATGTATCTGAAATCTTCTGACTATAACGAGTGAGTTCATCCTGTGCTTTTTGGCGCAGCTTTGCAATGATAGTAGGGATAGATGCCTCTTTTTTACGAGCCTCTTCAATTTGTGAATCCTTCGCCGCAAACTGAGAAATGTACCACTGCATTCTATGCTGACTGCGACTTAAGCGCTGAAACAAGGAAATTAGAGAATTTATAAAAATGCAAGTTATCATTATTGTAAAAGGAAAGACAAACTCACCTCTTTAGCAAACTTTTCCTGAGAGCTCAATTTCATTGAGACGCTCTGAAGCTGGTTGGCAGTTGAGGTATGTAAATCTTCTGACAAAGAAAGCCTTTATTGTTAGATGAATGTTAAGTTCAGTACTTTTGTTTGAGTAGATCTATCTCTTGCGTAAGTTTTAACTTCGTTGAATCCCCATCACTACCAGATATTTGCAATTCCTTAATGCGTAATTTAAGAGCTGCGATTTCATTAGTTTTCTCAGAGACATCACTTTTTAGAGCGCTGATATCCAGTAGGAGCTTAGCATTTTTAGAAGACTCTATTGATATTCTATAGGAATTATGAAATGAAAATTCATCAGCACCTGTCCATGAAATGCGTATCATTTTCTTTTCTTGCAAGGAGTTCATCTTCGAGTTGCCTCTTTTCATCCATTAAAATGTTAAGAGTTGTAGTGAGATGATTAATCTGACATTCATAAGACGTACGCAACCGTTTTAGATCTTCCTCAAGATTGCATATAGCATTATTGAGTGCAATGACATCTTCTTCATTTTTCAACTGCTTCACTCGATGAACATAAGCTGTGAAGCGCTCATTTAGGTTCCGAAGCTCTTCGATAACACTTTCCATGTTATTTGTATTACCACAGAATCGTCTAGATGTAGTAATTAGTGCAGTAAAACAAGATTCCAATATCCAATATTGATAGTGCGAGCGTAGAAAACTAGTAGTTTTTGATCTCTCGCGTCTAGTTCTTAGGGCTTGGTTCCAGTTGTTCGGTTTACTCCTGCAGTGGACGAGGAAATCCCCTCTGCTTTCTTGCTTTTAGCTTCGGTGAGGTGGATGTTTTGTGGGTTAGTAGGTTGTAATTTGTAGAGTGATTAGGGAGCTACGGGCTGCTGGGAAGTTTAGAGAACAACCGTGACTCCTGTCTGTGTAGGTACCTGAAAGAGAATATTAAGGTAGTGGTAAAGGAATGAAGAGAGAAATAAGGAAGAGAAATAAATAAATAAATAAAAAAATAGTAATAATAATGTAGGGAAGAGAAAAGGGAAGGAGAAGAAAAGAAGGGGTGAAGAGGAAATGAGAACGAAAGAAAAGTATTTGGGAATTGCCCGAATGGTCGCGTGGGTTTGGTTCCTACAGAAGAATTAGTAGGTAATGTGGGTGTATTAAGGAGAGAGATAGTGAGTGGTAGTTAGGAGGGAGTTGGGGGTACTGAGGTTGGTGACTACCTGAGTACGTCCGTGGTAGTCCATGCGAGGTGACATAACTGTCTAATCGCCTCTTGAAAGAGTCGATTGAAGGAGCTATAACGATGTGTCGCGGTAAGGCATTCCATAAAGCACATACTCTAGGGAGAAAAATTTGGACCTGAGTGTGGTGTTGGCTCTCTGGTGTGCTATCTTAATGGGGTTTCCTCGTGAAGATCGCTGAGTTGCAGGCAAAATTGATTTGTTTGCATGGTCTGCCTGATGGGCGATCTTGTATGCCATAATGAGGTCACCCCTTTTCCTGCGATAACCCAAGGTAAATAGGTTGAGGTGTTTAAGTCTTTCAGGATACGTCTTTCCCCTTAGCCCCACAACACATTTTGTTGCAGTTCTTTGTATTCTTTCAAGGAGATTAGAGTCTCTCTTGAGTGTTGGAGGAGCCACCGTATTGAAGACCTCTAGGTGCGGCCGCACGTAGGATTTGAAAATGGTGAGGAAGAGTTCGGGAGTGAGGGCGCCAAGCTGTCTACGCAGAAAGTGTAGAATGGCGTTCGCTCTGGTTGTCATACCTTTGTAGTTGGAGCTGGTGTCCAAGGTGTCGGAGAAGTTGAGCCCCAAATCTTTCTCCATGGACACTCTGGTGATAGCACGGTTGCTCAACATGTACTGGAAGTCGGTCGTACTTGCCTCATTTTTACTGATGTGCATTACTTTGCACTTTTCCAGTTGAAGCTCAGGCCATTTTCCGACGACCAGAGCTCGAGTTGCTGCAAGTCCTTTTGTAGTGCTGCACAGTCGGCTTCTTCGTTTACCACCCTCCAAATTTTTATGTCGTCAGCGAAGAGGAGGATGGGTGAGGATATTTTGTCTGGCAGATCGTTGACAAACAGGAGGAACAGAAGCGGTCCTAGGATTGCTCCTTGGGATACTCCTGACGTCGACGGTCTCCACTCCGACCTTATTCTGTTCACTTTAGTGCAGAACTGCCTCCCTTCCAGGTACTCCTTGAACCAAGAGAGTAGGGGTCCACTTATACCAGCTGACATGATCTTGTGAAGCAGTACTGTGGGTGGGACACTGTCAAATGCTTTGGCTAGGTCGAGAAATATAACATGTACAGGTTTTCTATTATCCCAGCTTTGTGTCCAGTCGTCCCAGGCGGTTAGTAAGTTGGTGGCACATGAGCGACCACTACGAAAGCCGTGCTGAGCAGTGTGGACAGTGTTTTCTCTATTGAGGAATTCCCAGATGGTGTCAGCTACCAGGCTTTCCAACACTTTCGACACAATAGGGAGTAGGGCAATCGGCCTGTAGCTGCCAGGGCTTTTTCTGTCTCCTCCCTTGAAGATGGGTGACAAGATGGCACTCTTCCATTCTTTAGGGAGTTTGCACGAGTCTATTGAGTGCTCAAAGAGGTTGCGAAGTGGTTTGGTAAGCACCTCGGCGCAGTTTTTCAGAACCACTGGTTTCAGGTTATCGCAGCCAGGGGACTTGCCCGGACGTAGCCTAGATAGCTTCTCGAACACCTTTTTCTCTGTAATAGAGACGTGACAGAGGTATTCGTTATTTGCGACCTGGTCGGTGTCGTGGCGAGTCGGTGTGGATCTTGTGTCAGTGCTGAGTTGGGCTTGGAAGTGTGAGCTCAAAAGCTCGGCAATCTCTAGACTGCTTAGCACACTCCCGTCATGGCCTGTGACAAGATTCACTCCCTTACTGGTCGACTTTCTTCTTGACATGAAGCGGTACAGGTTTTTGGGGTTGCTTTGTAACCTCGCTGCCAAGTTTGTTTGGTAGGAAAATCTGTCGTTACGCACTCTAATGTTACAGAGATTGCGAATCCTTTTGTAGTTCAAGAAGTCAGACTCCCTGCGTGATGTGCGCCACTTGAACCAAGCCTGCTTCTTGCTCCGGATAAGCCTCTCTGTCCCACGCTTTAACCATGAGGTTCTCATTGATTGTCTGTGTGTTACTTCTGGTACACTGTGACTGATGGCCCCAGTGATTATTTTCTTCACCTCCAACCAGTGTTCATCTATTGTGAGATGAGTCCAGTCCACTGGCCATGATGCATTCATGAGGTAGTCCCTCATGGTCTCATAGTTGGCCTTGCTGTAGCAAGGGAAGGTGTTGGGCGTCTCCAGTTGCAGAGCCTCCCTAGTTATCATGGAGAAGGTGATTACAGCGTGGTCACTGAGGCCAAGGGGAGGTTGGATGCAAACATCCTCAATGAGAAGTTCATCGTTCGTCAGAACGTAGTCAAGGCGCGATGCGTTTCCGTTAGGTCCCCAGCGTGTAGCATCACCCACTTTCTCTGAGAGGCCAGCAGTCTTAATTGCATCCTTCAGCTTCTGATTGAAGGATCTGATGCGTCTCCCTTCCGTCTCGAAGAGGATGGACGGGGTGTTGAAGTCGCCGGCAATGACTACGGAATCGTAATTTGCAGAGGAAGTCGTTAAGATAGCCTTGATGATCATTTCCTTATGTGTAGGGGAGCAGGTGGGGGACCGATATATGACTCCGAGCAGGTATTTGGTACTGTGGAGAGTGAAGTAGCACCATAGGGACTCTGGGAGCTGGGTTAAGGCCGTATCGCTAACCATCCTTGCCTTTAAACAAGAGTTTACGTAGATAGCCACTCCTCCTCCTGCTCTATGTTCCCTGTCCCTGCGGAAGAGTTCCATGCCAGTAACATGCATCTCTTCGTCGGAGATGTCTGGCGAGAGCCAGGATTCGGTGATGAATATGATGTCGGAGTGCTGATGTGCACGCAGCGTCCTCATTTCTGCTACCTTCCCTCTTAGCCCCCTAACGTTGCTGTACATACATATTAGAGTGTGCCTGGTGAGGGGGAGGTCTGGTTGTGTATTTTCGCAGGATGAGAGCTTATGTGGTTGGGTCTACCCTCGCCAGTCCTCATAGGACTGGCATTGTTCCGTTTTTTGGTGTTTTGTTATTAACTTGGGTGGGGGCTGTGGCAGTGGTGGCTTCTTTACTTGATGTATCTAACTCACTGGTCAGCGCCTGTGTGACGACCACTGACTCCAGAGGTCTTGGTGGTTGTCGTCTCTCCTCTTGCCTTGTGGGTCTAGGCTTACTTTCACATATACGTATTGAGCCACCCATGCGATCCTTCGCATTATACCATGCCTGTAGAACGTCTGTGAGGGAGGCATATGAGTCGAACTGGACGGCGAGTAGTCTGGGATTGGGTATGGTCTTCAGGTGCGCTGGCCTTGGCAGTCTACTGACGCTGTTGGCCGGTATACTGTTGAGACCAACTTTGGTTGAGAGCCATTGCCATTGTTGGACGTCGTGAAAGTACCGATCTTTGACCGAGCGGTCACTTGGCAATTCTGGAATCCCATGTACAACTATAGTGTTGTTTCTGTTGGGATTTCCAACCGCTGACTTTCTCTCCTCCTCTCTTATTGACCATGGCTTGTCAGGCCTGGCCCGAATTTTACAGGCATTAACAACGTCCGGTTGTCGCGAGAGGAGGAGTGTGTCTTCAGCCTCTTTGGCGGTATTTAGGGACACACGTAAAGGGGGTGGCTTATCTCGGGGTGCACGGCTTCCTCGAGAAAGGCGACATAAAGTTGCAGGGAGGGGAGGGAGTCCCAGCATCTGACAGTAGTCGGTCCACATTCGGCTGTCAAACCGTTCCCTCTCGACCAACAATGAGTCTGTCGATACATCGACGTTGAACAAAATGATCGAGTTGGTCCTCCTGTGACCTGGGTTCGTTGTGGGTGGCACGCCCGACTTCCCAATGGGTTTGAGTAATTCCACTGGTTGTTTCTCAGTCACGGTGTGTGGGGTGTTTGGAATGGGTTTCGTAGAGGCTTCAGCGGTCGATGTCTTTGGCCATACGCTTGACGTCCCCTGGGGCCGGGTAGGAGGTATGGAGACTTGACCTAATATGGTCCCCACGCGAGGTGGCGTGCCGGCAGCTGGAGCTCTAGGTCTGTTTCCAGGTCTCTCTGTGTTATCTTTTGGTGTTAACCCTACTTTATTCGAGGGTGCTGGTAGCTTTTGCGTGGCGGAGAGCATCTCCTTCAGGCTTTCTGTGCGGAGTGCGGGCATTTTCCTGCACTCTGGACAGATGTACCAGAACCACTTGCATGGTTGTCTCTTCATCAGCTTATAGTATTGTCGGGGGACTTTGGTGTCGCAGTGGCAATGCGCCCATCGTTGACATAGGTTGCATGCAAATGCCTCATCGACTACCGAAACAACTTTGGTGCAAACACTGCAGCCATCGGGTGTCGTAATACAGCCTTCCTTGCATGAATAGGTGCTACGGATTGTGGCGAACTGCTTGTGGCTGCCTTGTTCTGAAGCCTTTTACGTCGTCTTCTATTTCCAGGCATGGTATGATCCTTGCTCAAGATAGGACTAGTTTGTGACGGGCTAGTG